TATACGACTTTCTATCAAAACCTCCACCGCAGGGGCCGATCTTGACACTGCTGGCACAAGTCATCAACAAGTCCAATCAGTACAGTTCCAACTCGTTTTGTGCCAAATCAGTCCCATCTATTTTCTAGCCTGTGCCACACCTGTTTAGACCGAACTATACAGTCAAAGAGAAGCTGATTGGGCATGTGGTGGATGGACATGCGGGATATATGACCCAGACAACTCAGCCCTCGCTTTACAAGAGGGGCTCACTGATGATGGTAATGCATCCAGATCTTTGAAGGATCTGTGAGCTCCTCACACAATCGTCTGATTAAACCCAGGATAGATTGTAGGCAGGCTAGCCTGAATGTTTAAAACCGGCACAGATGTTCCCTTCGAGGGCTCCACATTTCGCAAGCATAGAGAAGTGACGACATAACTGTGGTGGAGAAACCCCAGAGATTTGAAGTGATAGACCAGGTTGCTTCCACACAGCGCTACGCAGATAATGAAAAGATACTGCCGCTCGAGTGATTCGGATTGAGACTTGGGCTCCCAAAACAGGAGCTAGTCATAATCACACTACCCAAGTATGGAGCATTTTATGAAATAAAATACCCAGGCAGGTACTTTGTGTTTGTGGGGCTGATGGTAAGGTATCATCTATTCGTAGCGAGCAACTACTAAGGCCGGAAGAGTCCACAAGGGGGTGTTGGGTGGCCAGCACCACGCCGATCCACCTTTGTCTCCGCAGTAGCGATGCTTACCACACCAGGTACTCATTTGAGGCTGAGTCGACCTTGGGGAGGCCCAATATCGGTTCAGATAATCGTCAATGGTGTTAGCGGGAATATAACTTGTGTTGCTGGGTTTATATCGCAGTGGACTAACCATTGCACCCCATCGCTCCCCACTATGCATGTTTCTCTCAACAAACAAACACAGATCCCCAGTATAGCCTTAACAGATTAATGGGAGAAGTGCTGTTAGTGAGCATCCATGAAGGCCGACACGCCACACGAGGGAGTGGGTGGCCAGCACTCCGCCCGGCCGCCTTTGTCTCCCTAGTGGCGATGTTTACACACCGCACCAGGTACTCGTTTTAGGCTGAGTCACCCGAGGGGAAGTCCTGGACCGGTTCAGATTATCGTCACTGGTGTTGGCCGTGAGCGGGAATCGGAACTTGGGTCGCCAGGTAGCGCTCCCCCATGTGTTTCACTCACAAATTCTCACACGCGGTTTTTATTATTACACTCTTTTATTTAACTCACTCCACTCCGTCTGTTGTATCCTAAAAAAAATCGTCTAACTAAATTTTTACCCACTTCCCAATGTGCTATCGACTGCAAACTTGAAATACCTATGTCATACTGATGGCAAGACTATATTCTATCATAAAAAAATGTTTTAAACATTTTACACGCTTTTATTTAACTTACTCTGTGTGTTGTATCCTAAAATTTTGTAACTCACTTTCAACCGTATTCCCAATGTCGTATCGACTGCAAACTTGGTATAGGTATGTCATACTGATGACAATACTATATTCTATCATTACAAATTAAAAATATATTTTTTTAAACGATCTTTTTTACGGCTCTAATTGTCCACGCTTAACTAACGTTGGCTGTAAATCACCGCGGTCCCTTATGTCACGGCAAGCCTCGGGGAGCCACGCCGAGGGGCGGGGGATGTGGAAGGAGGGGAGGGGCGATGGGGGAAGGGGGCAGGGGGAGGGGCAGCTCGGACAGTACATTTAATTAAAGCGTGTTTTTTTAAGTATTTTTCAATATTGTATTCTCTGTACTGTGTCTGTGTCACTCCCTCTCACGCAAACACACACTCTTTGTCCCTCTCTCATTCTCTCTCAATGATCCACTCCGTCTCACGCTCTGTCTCAAGAACAGACACTCTCCATCACATTGCACACTCTCTGTCCCTCTCTTTTTCCCACACACGCATTGTGTCAATCGCACTCTCTGCTACACCACTTACTGTCTCGCTCTAAAACTAACTCTCTCTGCATCTCTCCCTGTCCATCTCCCGCACTTTCACGCACTCTGTGTCTCTCTCTGCCACTCTCTCGCTGTCTGTGTCTCTCCCCGTCCCTCTCTCACACTCTCTGTATTTCTCCCTGTCCTTCTACACTACCGATCCCCCCACACACACACAAAGCCTTCACATACATTTTGGGCAAGTGCTGTTTGCGAGCACCTATTAAAAGCTGCACGTACAAAGGGGGGATGGGTGGCTAGCACCACGCCCGACCGCCTTTGCCTCCCCAATGGCGATGTTTAGACACCGCACTAGGCACCCCTTTGAGGCTGAGTTCACCATAAATATCGCTACATTTTACTTGGTGATGCCACTCAAACAATACATAACTCATCAAATGAGGGCCTACTGCAAGATAACTTCGCCTCTTATATTTGTATGTATTTTCCATTTAGCCACCCCCTCTATCTGACTAACAAGAAACTTCTTTGGCATGCGGTGGCTGGGCATGCAGGCTACATGACCCTACTCAAGTCATCATCCACTCACACGCATCACAGAGACAAAGATCCCACGTAAAGCCTTAACAGACTTCTGGGGAAGGTGTTTTTAGTGAGCACACACCCAATCGCCAACAGCATTCAGTTGGCTGACCAGACGATTACGTAATGTAGGTGACATTGTGCCAGAGGGCGACATCATGATATCTGTGAACAATGAACATGTGTAACTACATATCCATTACCCACGTGTATCACGTAAGGATGTGTGTTCCCTGGTTAGTCAACCCCTGGTAATGGTTCTAGATTTGAAGCTTTCGTGACTGTAAGGATTCATATTCTTAGGTTTTTTCGGTAAAGTCACGTAGGTAAAAACATCAACATTAATTAAAATAAAATAAAACAAAAAATCACGACGTTTCGGAGGCAACACAAGTCTCCGTCATCAGGTGGGACCGTCACAGCCGAATTAGCTGTATCAAGTGAGGCAATGATTCAAGATGTAATCCCTTATAAGCAAGTTGAAGGGGGGGAGGAGAGGGGGGGGGAGCTCATCAGAATGTGGTAGCCAATGAATGGAAACGTATCGGGAGGGAGGGGGGCGGGGCTCAAAGACTCCGTGCTGTCTATATGAGGAGATGTTTGTAATGTGTCTTTGGGGTGATTTCGAGGGGTGGGTGTAAAGTGATGTGGTGGTTCCTTGCTCTAACGAGCGGTGGGAGGGCAATGTTCAACGCTGTGGGTAGAATTTAGGCCATGGTTGAAATTCACTTGTGTCTACTGCGAGCGCAGACAATGTAAATTATGATCGAACATGAACATAATTTTTACGGTGATGGTGGAAAATGATGACGTAATAATTACTATGATGCCGATAATGATAATTAGATTCTGATGATAAATGGGTACTGATGATGATTAAAGGGTGCTACTGCTGCATATGATGATGATGATAATGATGACCATATTGCTGTTCCTAATGCTAAGTTTGGTTCCGCTGCTGATGAAGCTGATGAGGAAGATGAAGAAATGCAGAACGGGAAGTGTTCCTTCCCGTTCTGCTTATACTGGATCATGTGAGCCCACTGAATTGTAACAGTGATCTGCCACGGCTGAGGTGTTTGTCCTACCGTGTTTCAAGTCTGCTTTATGTTCACGGATGCGGTCCGAGACATGTCGTTTGGTTTCTCCAATGTAACTGCTACCACAGAGGAAACTTAGTTTGTAAACGCCAGGATACTGTATGTCTGGAACCACGTCTTTTACAGACGGGACCAGATCACGGATTTTATGTACTGTGTTGAATCGGACCTGGATCTTGTGTTTTATCAGGATTTTGGAGATCTTTTTTTGTGACCCCAGCAATGTCGGGTAAGGTGATGGTTTTGAAAAGCTCCTCAACAGGATCCTTCTTGATGGTTGGAGTGATGGCTTTGCGGATTGTGTAGTCGGAGTAACCATTAGCCTTAAGAGCTTGGCAATGTGATCCTGATCAGAGATGCATAGAGCCCAAAGCATCTCCGACCAGAAACACATTGCCAGTGAACTCAAACACGTACGCCAAGTTCTTAACGCGAATGGTTACTCTGATTACACAATCCGCAAAGCCATCACTCCAACCATATATTTTTAAACAATATTTTGTATATGTGTATGTTTCGGCTTGGGTCTAATTGTCCACGCTCAACTCACGTTGGCTGTAAATCACGCTGTGGCAAGCCTCGGGGCCACTTCCTGGAGTCGTGGAGTTCTGCCATTACGAGTACATTTAATTAAGCGTGATTTAAAAAAAAAGTATTTCTAAATATTACTTCTTCTACTTAATGTCCATGGGCCTGAGTACAGTAAAAGCAAATAAAACCTCTGTAGCGGGCTGCCTGCTCAGCCGCCAGACGCCAATAAACCAAACATTTGTGTGTTTTGGTTTTGACGTGGAGTTGGGGTGAGAACTCATTTCTTTAGAGCTGCTTCTTGTGTTTAGTTTGTTATTTTTTATTAAAAAGTTACCAAAAATGTCACCTCGCCCATCAGCTCACGCTGCGCTGTTGCTGCGTGTGCCCGCCAGAGGGCACGACGTGACCACACACCGATAGGACATCATCAGTGTGAGTGCCGCAACACATTGCACATTCTCTTGTCAAGGCGCTCTTCCTCTTCCCTCCCAGCTTAAATAGACGCCCCAAGCCCAGGACGTGTCATTCAGACTCTGTCTTATCGACAGACCTGTTCTTCACCTGAGGACGGCTGCTTGCGTTGTGGCCGAAACGTCGTGAGAATTATTTTATTATGTTTTATTTTTATTATTTTATTATGTTTTATTTTTATTATTTTATTTTGTTTTATTTTTATTATTTTATTATGTTTTATTTTTATTATTTTATTACTTCCCTTCTACGTGACTTTACCGAAAGAACCAAGAAGACATTGGAAGCCATTGGGGGGTTTGACAGCAGCACGATGATGATGGTGGTGGTGGTGGGGGGTGTTGTCAACATTTGTGTTTTGTTGCACAGGTCGCTGGCTGCCAGCTTTGCGTTAGGGGCCGTCCATTTCTGTCGGAGTAGATCTAGTGGTGGGACGGCGTCTTTCTCCTCTCTCACACACCAAGGTGAGGACAGAAAATAAATATTCGCGATCAAACAACGATATGCGAACATTCGAAATGCGAAGTTTCAGTATAACGAACTTTGCATCCGTTTCCGTTATTTTAATGGAAAAAGGTGAATAATTATATAACATTTCATAAATAAATATTGAATTTATCGGTCTGTGGTGCAAAAAAATATGAATAAAATTACGTTTCTTCACTACGTTTATTTTTTTTTATCAATGTCGGTTTGTAATTTTTATACCGTACAATATAAAATTTATGTTATTTTCAACATAAATTGTCTTTGTTTTCAACATGAATGGTAAGTTCCAAAATGTTTATTCGTGTAGTTTTAAATAGTAAGGTACGAAGACTGGGAGCGCATCCTCATCCTACTGTGATACTTTATTCAATATATGAAGTTTCAATTAACGAAGCTCCAGGAACACATTTACTTCGTATATCGAGTTATTACTGTCGTCGTTGTGGATTTTGTTGTAATTGATGTTTGTATGTACAGTATGTTGAACTTCTTTTGCACCGTACGTAGCCAACCGTGCTTATCGGAGGTGCGGGGGAAGACAATAAACTATGCACAAAAAGTAGTTTTAAGCAAATGCGTTTTCATTGTAGAAGATTTCAAAGTGCACAGCTCCAGTGGCTTCCTAATATCGGAAAGGAAGAACGTTCCAGACGGCCGTAGATGCTCATGTAAAGTAGTAACTCGGCAGGAGACGACTTCACGGGTAGCACACTCTTTATTTTCACCAGCTTGTAGTTACACGGATGACTAACACCCTACTTCGTTACACGGGTGACCAACACCCACTTAGCTACACGGGTGCCGGACACCCACTCAGCTACACGGGTGACTAACACCCACTCAGCTACACGGGTGACTAACACCCACTCAGCTACACGGGTGACCAACACCCACTCAGCTGTACTGACACGGGCTCTTACGCCCCGTAGCCTTCCGGGACACACCCAGCCGGGGTGCCCGTCTCGGCTCTGGGTACCACCGTCCCGACCCACACGGGCGTCGGACTACGGTCCCCCCAGTCTCGGCTCCGAGCCACACAGGGCCCCGGTCCCCACAAGGACGGCGGGACTAGGGGTCTCGGGCCACTACCTCCTCCACCCCGTCTTCGGTCTTCAACTGGTTAACACTGACCACGAGTGCTCTCGCGCGTCCCCCTTTATACCCCTCCTGCGGACGTCGCTGAGAGTACCCACTTATCTGACCAATCACCGCGCACTCGCTACGATCCTCTTTTCCCAGCTTGTGTGAGCGCGCCTCACCACCGGCGCGCGCGTCCATGCCACGCCCACATCGCGTGCCCAACCCCGCGCCCCGTGATCCATCACTGCCGGCGCACGTCAATACCACCACTACATCACCCCCTACCACATAGCTCGCAGCCGACCCGGCTGCTAATAAAACATACAACACCCCTTCACCCCCATGTGTGCCCCGTAACATAACACAAACCCTAACAACACAACATGAACACCGCAATCCGCAAAACCCAGCAACCGCCACACCCGCAACAAGAACAACATGCACAATCCGGCGAGTGGCAACGATACTGTGTATGCGGAAAGAGTAATAATAAAAAAAATGTCTTTAATCATTTTCTCTTCTTTTCTCTCCGACTCATGCAGCGTCCCAATGTCCGAGCGTCCCTTGAACGGGACATTACCCTGGCAGAGGGGGAAGCCGGCAACGAAGTCGGGCTTTAACAAAAAAAGAAAATTTTTTTTTTCTTTTTTCATGAAAAGTGTTGCGTCCTTGCCCGAGTCCGCCTTGCCGGACCGTCGTACGGCACAGGACGCAGTTGGCCATCCGGCGGCGCCGGCAGTTCAGGAAGGCATGGGCCAGGCATCGGGGCTCCGCGCGAGCCGCGGGGTTCCGGTTCCCGACGGTCAACAGCCGTCAGGTCCGAGACACCTGGGGGTGGGTCAGGTGGAGACACGTGAGGATCAGCCTGCGACACATCCCTCCCCGAGTCGACGGTCACATCACACGCTCGGTCGTCACGGCACAACCCGGGGTCACGCGGCGCCGCGTAGGGTTTCAGTCGGGAGGGGTGCACGTACCAACGGCGTTTTCCCCATTTAATCTGTATACTCTGGGGTCGTGCAACCCGCACAATTTCCACCGGTCCCCTCCATGGTCTCAACAGTTTGGGGGACGTAGCCAACGGTGCGTGTGGACAATGCAGCCAGGCCTTATCGCCCGGTTCCCAATTGTGCGTATGCACCTTCCGTTCATGCAATCGCTCGTTCGCGATCTGCCCAGAGCGTGAATTCAATCTCGCAGCCTCTCGCGCCTCAGCCAATTTGGCAATGTTAAACTTAATGTGGTCTGCCAATTTTGATTTAGCACGTGGCTGTGAAATCCCCAGTTGGACGTCCATGGCCGGATCAGCCTCCCGCCCATACATCAGAAAAAATGGAGAAAACCCCGTCGCCGCATGGGGAGCCATCCGATAGGCCGCTAGTACCCCCGGTACCTGTAAGTCCCAATCCACCTGGTCGTCGCATACCTGTTGGCACAGCATAGACGTAATCGTCCTGTTCAGACGTTCAACCATACCGTCAGTCTGCGGGTGGTACGGGGAGGTACGTACTTTCTTTGTACCCAACAGGTCGCACACCTCGCGCAACAAAACACTCGAAAAGTTTTTCCCTTGATCCGTCAGCAAGCGTTCGGGGGCGCCTTTGTCCAAAACGTAACCTTGGACAAAGGCGTCCGCCACTGCCGCAGCCGACTGGTTGGCGAGTGGCCACGCCATGGGCCAGCGGGTGAAGTACTCTACGCCAACCAGCAGGAACTTATTTCCCCGAGGTGTAGCGGGAAAGGGCCCCAAGATGTCTAGCGCGACCAATTCGTTCGTGCGCGAAACTTGAATGGATTGAAGCGGTGGATTTGCCGCTATTGGTGGCGGTTTTCTTTTAGCGCACCCTACACACCCCTTAAGAATGTTCGCCACGTCATTTCCCATCCCAGGCCAATAGTAGTCTCGCTGAATGAGGGCGAGCGTTTTGTGAAACCCCAGATGCATGAGTCGTTCATGGGCAGCCAGGACGACCTTACCCCATACAGCAACCGGCACCACAATCATGTGACGCCGGGACATGGAGTCCCACTTCATCAAGAGGCCCTGTCTGCACACCCAGGAACCGACCCGCGTTTCCCCGCCCTCGGGAACGTCAACCTTCCGACGTAGCGCGAGTAGGAAGCTGTCGGCCATTTGCAGACGGCCCCACTCGATGAGAGGCAATGCTAACAGCGAGTCCCTCCCCGTGGGGGCGTCGACCCCCGTAGTATCCGTGGCGGCTAGCACCACTTCCGCGGGGACATCGACAGAAGGTTTACACCGCGCCGATCCTAACTGACATGCGCATTCCGTACGCGTCGGCAACCGTGACAATGCATCCGCATTCGAGTGTCGCAACCCCTTGCGGTAAATCGTCGTGAATTGGTAGTCCTGAAGGACCTCCAACCATCGGGACAATTGGCCGGATGGCTGCGCCACCCGCATAGCGTATTGGAGAGCCGCATGGTCCGTGCGAACCGTAAAGTGACGGCCATACAGATACGGCCTGAATTGCTGAATAAAAACCACAATCGCCAGCAATTCACGCCGTGTCACGCAGTAGCGTTTTTCCGCGGGGGACAGAACCCTGCTACCGTAGGCGACCACCCGTTCGACCCCCCCGACCACCTGTGAGAGCACTCCCCCGATACCCGTGTTACTGGCATCCGTGTCGAGCACAAACGGTTGCGTGAAATCGGGGTAACACAAGGGGGGAGCCTGCACCAAGGCGTCACGAAGGGAGCAGAACGCGGCCTCCTCCTCCGGCCCCCAGTGAAACCGCACCCCTTTAGCTGTCAAGGCGTACAGGGGCCTGGCTATGGTGGCAAACTGCTTGACAAAACGACGGTAATAGGAGGCAAATCCTATGAAGCTGCGGACTTCAGTAACAGAGGTCGGTGTTGGCCATGAGCCGACGCATTGCGTCTTAGCAGGGTCCGTCGAGATCCCTGAACGGCTAACGATATGGCCCAAATACCTGACCGATTCCCGAAGCAGAAAACATTTAGCCGGTTTAAATTTAAGCTTCGCGGAACGCATCCTGAGAAACACTGCTCTCAGTCGCTGGAGGTGCTCCTCAAAAGTTCGGCTGAAAACGATGATATCATCGAGGTAAATCAAACAGGTGTCCCATTGAAGGCCTGACAAAACCAATTCCATGAGCCTCTGGAACGTGGCAGGAGCGGAATGTAAACCCATGGGCAATCGGTTGCACTCAAATAGGCCTCCCGGTGTCCGGAAAGCGGTTTTAGGTTTTGATTCGTCATCGAGGGGCAATTGCCAAAATCCCGAAAGCAAATCGAGCGTCGAAAAAAACTGTGCTCCTGCCAAGGCATCCAGCGACTCATCCATCCTGGGGAGCGGATACGCATCGGCCATTGATATTTTGTTTAGGCGGCGGAAATCAACACAGAACCGCAGGGATCCATCCTGTTTTTTAACCAAGACGATAGGAGCACCCCACGGACTGGAAGAGGGCGCAATGATGTCGGCCGCCAACATGTCATTTACTGCCGACTGCACATGCTCCTTCTCGGCTGGACTGAGCCGGAAGGGATTCTGTCGAATAGGGGCCGCGTCCCCAGTCTCTATGTGGTGGCGCAACAGGTCTGTGCAGCCAATGTCGTACTTGTGCCTGCTAAACACGTCAGCGAACTCGAGCAGCAAGCCCCTCAATGCACCCAACTGCACACTGGACAAGGTACTGGACCCGGCACACAACGAGTCCAACCACTCCGTCCCCTCCTCACTTTGGGGATGCGTATCGACATTTGAATCGGCGTGAGCAACGAGCTGTTCCTCGACGGGTAGCGGCGCGGCGTGAGCGAGCACCGTTCCCTGCGTAATCACGGCCGGCCGCGACCCCGTATTCAGGACCACAACGAACGGCTCACTGTCCCCCCTCACCATGGTCTGGGCCACCGCTAAGTCGAGGTCCCCTTTAGCCCTGTTAGACGGCCCCAATAGAACTCCCTGCGCCCCCGCATCCGCCCCAAGGGGTTTTCTCAACCGAAGGGGTACCAACATTTGCGATCCCGGGGGCACCCGTACAGTCCGGGTTGCCAGCGCCTGCACCGTCGCACAAGCCGTGCGTATCTTATTTGGACTCTTCAAAAACTCAACCCGCCGACCCGACGGAAGCTCAATGCAGGCCTGGTCTATGAGAATTTTTATGGGCATTTTAGACAGAAAGTCCGTGCCTAGTAAACAAGGAACGGCCAACGATGATGATACAAAAATAGGACCCGCCAATTTAATGTCGCCAATACAAATATTCGCCCGAATCTGGCCGATGATTCCCAAAGATCCCCCGTTTGCCGCGTAAAATGGTACGTCCACCGGCAGAAGTGGTCGACATTGTACGGGAAGAATATTATAAATAAGGTCCGAAATAATAGTGGCCGACGCACCCGTGTCCACGAGCACCCGGACCTCAACCCCGTCAATGTACCCCGTTACCACGGACGACCCGGCCGACGCAGCCACAATCCTGTGGGCCAATTCGGACCACTCGACTGCCTTCGGGCCGTACGCGGACCCCTCTTGCCGAACCGAACCCCCGGCGCCCATACACGGTCCCCCCACCGCTAAGCGGCGACCCGAACGTGCCGTGCGTTTGGACCGAACGTGTGAGGTGCCGCGACTTGCCGGGTTCAGTTGGGATGTCTTGAGTCCCTGGTCGTCGTCCGGACGTGGTCCCGCGGTGCGTTGACGCGGGGCCCGGCACCCGGCCGCGACGTGGCCCCGAAGGCCGCAGTTGTAGCAGACGACGAGGGACGTCGTAGGTTTCGGTTGCTCCAGCTTGCGGGCGGAGCGTGTGGGCGAACGACCTCCCGTTCTCCACTCCCCCGGCCTCGAACCAGCGAAGGCCTCCTCCCGAGGCACAGCAGGCTGAGGTCCGATGATCGTGGCGGCTGGTGCCCCGTTCTCCACCGATGCGCAGACGACCGTCGGCTTCCGCTGTAGGACCTCGTAAGCGTGGATACTCGTGGCAATCCCCAGGGAGCAGATGTCCATTTCGTCCGCCGTATTAATGGGAACTCCCAATCCGTGAGCCAGCGCCAGCAGCTGCTCCGTCACCATGGCGTCCTTCCCCTCCTTGTCCATGCGGGGAAAAGCTGAATCCGCCAGGGCGAGCAGCGCCGTGCGATAGGCGAGCGTTGTTTCTCCAACCACCTTCCGCCGATCGTAGAACTGGTGGCGACAGGTCGAGGGCGGCCCGAACACCTTGGCCAACAGGTGCAGCGCGGCCTGGAGCGTTGAGCGGGACGACCTCGGGGCAGACGTGAAGGCCGCAAGCGCGTCGTCGTCGAGCATCGCTGGCAGCGCGCGCAGGGCAGTGGTGTCGGACCACCCCGACATTTCTTGATGCGCGATGAACCGTCGCTGGAAGGCTCCCCAGTCGCCCCCGTCCGCCTTGAACACCGACAGCGCGGGCAATCGTTGCTGGAGAACTCGATCGTCGTCGTCGTCGTTGGAACGATTTCCCCGCGCGCCGCTGTGGTTGTAGAAAATGTCGGCTCCCTCTGCAGGCGCAAAATGGAGAGCTCCGGCGCTCGCCGATGACGCGGGCTGCGCTGTGTGGAGACCTCTGGCCACGTGGTGTCCGCGTTTCCCGCCAACCGGAGGCGGACCCTCAAAAATGGCGCCAACTCCCAAACTTTTGGCGCGAAACGCCTTATGGCGGGAACCCTCCAGCCGCGCCGCCTCTTCCAACCCCGCAGGCGTTCCACCGGCCGCTGGAACGGAGATCTCCGCCAAGATCGCAGCGGCGGCGAGCAGCAACTCCGCCAGGCGGGAGTGAGCGTCCTGCAGGCTGGTGTCGGAGGCGGGCGGAGCATCGGCCATCTCCGCGAAGTGCTGCATCGGCGGCAACTCCTCGTCCTCTCCTCCCGCGGGTGGTGTCACCGGTACGTCGTCGTCTCCCCGGTCTTGCACGTGGGAACGAGAAGTCTTCCTTGTGTCCATTCTCCTTGAAGACAGGTTTACTTCTGACGCCAGTTGTAAAGTAGTAACTCGGCAGGAGACGACTTCACGGGTAGCACACTCTTTATTTTCACCAGCTTGTAGTTACACGGATGACTAACACCCTACTTCGTTACACGGGTGACCAACACCCACTTAGCTACACGGGTGCCGGACACCCACTCAGCTACACGGGTGACTGACACCCACTCAGCTACACGGGTGACTAACACCCACTCAGCTACACGGGTGACCAACACCCACTCAGCTGTACTGACACGGGCTCTTACGCCCCGTAGCCTTCCGGGACACACCCAGCCGGGGTGCCCGTCTCGGCTCTGGGTACCACCGTCCCGACCCACACGGGCGTCGGACTACGGTCCCCCCAGTCTCGGCTCCGAGCCACACAGGGCCCCGGTCCCCACAAGGACGGCGGGACTAGGGGTCTCGGGCCACTACCTCCTCCACCCCGTCTTCGGTCTTCAACTGGTTAACACTGACCACGAGTGCTCTCGCGCGTCCCCCTTTATACCCCTCCTGCGGACGTCGCTGAGAGTACCCACTTATCTGACCAATCACCGCGCACTCGCTACGATCCTCTTTTCCCAGCTTGTGTGAGCGCGCCTCACCACCGGCGCGCGCGTCCATGCCACGCCCACATCGCGTGCCCAACCCCGCGCCCCGTGATCCATCACTGCCGGCGCACGTCAATACCACCACTACACTCATATGAAAGCGCACGATGCAGTGGCCGTCTTTGTTCGATGGTTGTTGAGGTGGTTGTGGTTAATGCCTTAGGGGTTGATGTCATGTTAGTTGTAGTAGAGGTTGTGGTTGTTGCTGTCGTTTTAATAAGTGATCCTTGTCATGTTTGTAGCTGTGGCAGTAGTCATGGTTGTGCTTGATGTTGTTGCGATAGTAGTCATGTCAGTTGTTGTAGTTGCAGGCCTCGTAGAAGTTGTAGTGGTTGCTACAAGTAGTGATTGCTTTTGTTGTGGTCATTCACCAGGACAAGCTAACTGGGAAACGTACAAACGAAATTGTGGTTGTGTTTGTTGATGTTGCTGCGTTTTTTGTAGTAATTGTCTCCATTATAGTTGTTGCGCTTGTAGTTGCAGTAGCAGTGGTTGTTGCAGTTGTTACAGTGGTTGTGGTGCTGTAGTTGTGGATGTAGTAGCTGCTGTAGTTGTAATCGCTGGTGTGGGTGTTGTAGTTGTTGTTGTAGTAGTGGTGGTTATCATTGCAGTGGTAGTTGTTGTCGTAGTAGTGTTTGTACTTGTCGCAGCTGTTGTTACAGTGGTGTTGGTAGTTGTTGGAGTTGTGTTTATGTTGTGGTTTTTGTGGTTGCATTCATTTGTATTGCAGCGGTTGTGGTAGTTATGGTTGTATTCGTGGTTGTTTGTTGTGGTAGTTTTATTTGTCACGGTTGCATTGTGATTAGAGTAAATTGTAATGGTTGTGGCAGTTGTTCTGGTAGTTGTGCTTGTGAGTTGTGGATGTTGGGTATTGATTCCCGCTCACGGCCACCACCAGTGACGATTATTTGAACCGGTCCTGGGCCTCCCCTCGGTCGACTCGGTCTCAAATGAGTACCTCGTGCGGTGTGTAAACATCGCCACTCGGGAGACAAAGGCGGTCTGGGGTGGAGCTGGCCACTCACCCCCTCGTGTGCTGTGCTGACCTTCATAGGTGCCCCCTAACAGCACTTGCCCCAACAGTCTGTTAACGTTATACTGCAGATCGTTGTCTCTTTTTAAATCCTTTATATTAAGTTCGCTTGCTTGCTTGCTTGCGTGCTTGCTTGCTTACGACCGTGCAAACCTTTCAATCGTTTTTTAACCCACTTCCCGTGATCCAATCAAGCTGACATTTTGCACACAGACTCGTTGTGCGAGACAATTAATGTTCGTGAAAAAAAAATTCCAAAATTTTACACTGTTTAGGGAAAACAAATTAAATATTTAATTACCAATTGTTTAATACTGCAGATAATCATCTGACCCATAGGTGGCAGCCATCTCAAGCCAGAGGACGAGAGGACTCTAGCCGCCACGCATATAAAGGATTTAGAGTGAAAAACTTTGTTTTTACGGGTTATACATATTGTTGTTGCAGGTATTGTGGTTGTATTTGTTATTTAAATTGCTATCGTAATTGTAAAGGTTGCAGTAGTTGTAGTAGTGGTGGATTTTGTTGTAATTGCAGTGGTTGTTGTGGTTGTTGTTGTAGAGGTTCACAAGTCGCGTGAGCTCCACTCGCAGCCCTGCCTCCTACTCCGTCATCACGGAAACCAGAGCTGTCACTGCAGCAACCGAGTCAGCCCTGTTTAGTCAATCGGGGGCGAGGTTCCAACAACCACAGCAACAAACACCAGGTAACAACAACAACAACGACCAGACAGCCACAACAATGCCGAATCAAAACATTCAAACACCACAACTGTAACACTCAAACAATAATAATGTCACAGCAGCAATGCACAACGGAGACCAAACAGCATTGGGGGCGGCTCACACGGTGTGTGATTTTCCCCGGGCCCCGTACACCCCCGAAGGATGGCCCTGGTTTCAATTCTAAAGCTGTGTGCAGGTCAAATCTGCGCTGCGTAGTTTTACGAACCCATGGGCTCTGTGCTTCGAAGCGTCCACGTGATCTGTCTCATCGCTGTCCGTGCCCGCTTTTGTTTATTTCACATTTATCTTACCTTCGGTTTAGCACGTAGGCTTTTGCGACCAATATTACTCTCCAACACATCGGTGTGTTGGGGAGTTAAATTTGTAATTGTTTAGTTTGTTGTTTTGTAACGTGTGACATGTTCATGAAGTGTGCGAGTTGTTAATTACGCGTGAATATAATTCACCTTATAGTAACAGATTGTATTTTAATAATAATGTTTATTGAAGGATTTGCAGAATTCCAGACATTCCTCATAACCAAAAAGGCTTTCCAAATGATTCAGGCACAGGGAGGTTTCACTATTTAATAAACCATTCTCGAGAATATTACCGACTTCATGAATATGAATGCTCAAGCATAGAACCTCATAATAAGATGCATACTCTCTTTGTGGTTGACATGCTTTATTTAAAAAACTAAATTTAAACTATTTTTTATTTGACCAGGTTAGGCCCAATGAGCTACGTAGTTATTTTTTCCGAAGTGACCTGGCCACAAAGGATAGCTCAACGACAAGTGGCTTGTCATGTCGACATTTATTGCACCAAAATACTCTTAAACACATGTTTGTAAATGTGGAGCGAAAAACTGGAGGACCTAGAGAAAAATCCCAGTGGTATGTAACCAATCTAGAATAATATCTTGCAACTGATGTCCTATACCTAAGTCTAAACTGAATGTGTCATGTCTATTTCCTTGTCTCGTGTCTCGGTGTCCATGTAGGTGTCTGTACTTGACTCGGGAACTCACAATGGCGCTTGCTCCGTTTTTCTGTCCAAATCCCCACGACTTTTGACATCTGTCCAATTCCCCATGACTTTTGACATTTAACCAGGTGAGTTGGGGTTAGAGTCATGGGGCTGGTGCTAGAGGAATGGCTAGTTATCGGTTAAGATTTGTATTAATTTGTCCTTAAATACAAACAGTAGCTCCTAGGACTTAAAAGGTAGGGTTTAAGCTAAAATGTAACTAAACTTGTTATTTTGCCAGGTAAGGCTCACTGAGCTATACAGATCTTTTTCAGAAATGACCTGGCCGCAAATGATAGCTTAACGAAGTGGATTTTCACGTGGATATTTATAGCAGCCTAATACTCTAAACGCATGTTTCTAAATGTAGAGGGAAAACTGGAGGACCCCGAGAAAAATCCACATGACTATTGGGAAAACATGCGCAAACTCCAAATATGCAGACGTCAAGGTCGGGAACGAATCCACGACCTTCTGTATACCAGGCGAGGTAGTTAAAATTTTGCTACCGTGACACCCATAGAGGGTAGGGCTACGACTATTTTAGGGGTAGTCGTGTGAGTGTTTGAAGTGTTGCCATCTCCAAAACATCTCTCCACCTCCTTTTGCAGGACATCCCTGGCCCTGGTTACTATGATGTGAGTGAGGTGGTGAGGAGAAAAAAACGGGCACCCCATCGTACTCGGACTTCAACGCCTTTGCCCAGCTCACTGCTGTAGAGGTCTCCAGTGCCCAGACAGAAGGGCATTCCAGGTGGGAATTCACGAGTCACCAACTCGTTTCACTCACACATCCGCACACCCACGCACTTGCCTGCTCACTAACCCATTTAATTACTTATTCAGTTACTGGCTCAACGACCTACTCACTCTCTCGCTCAATCAGTCCATGGCTTGCTTACCTACCCACCCACTCCATAACCCACGTATACACTAATAAACCCACTGAATAATAAATCATTGACACAAGCACTCAATCACATACTCCATAGACCGACTTACTATTTTTTCTCGTGAACCTTTAATGGTATATTTATTTTCTTGGTTCTTTCGGTAAAGTCACGTAGAAGGGAAATAATAAAATAATAAAAATTAAATATAAAATAAAATTCTCACGACGTTTCGGCCACAACGCAAGCAGCCGTCCTCAGGTGAAGAACAGGGCTGTCTTTCCGACAGCTGCTTGCGTTGTGGTCGAAACGTCGTGAGAATTTTATTTTATTATGTTTTATTTTTAGAATTTTATTATTTCCCTTCGACGTGACTTTACCGAAAGAACCAAGAAGATGAATCGCTGCAGTCACGAAAGCTTTAATTCTGTATATTTATTATCGCGTGATATTGACCACTTCTGACCATTTACCCAGGCTCTGGCCATTATGAACCGAGGCCTCAGGCTTGCCCTCGCCTGACTCTGCTGGTGTCCCGTGAGGACCACTTTCCTGAGCGATCAACCCCGGGCCCAGAACCTGGAGAATATGAGGTACAGACATTCGCACATCACCTGACTCAACTGTGTTATATATACACACACACAGGTCTTACTGCATTCACCTATAGCATAGCTTTATTACGTGATTATAAAAAAAATCTTCTTCTCGTGCATCCATCTACCTCCCTGTGCCTCCATACCCCTCATGTCTGCCTTCTCCCCGATTCCTTCCTTCTCTTGTATCCCTCCTCTTCCCCATGTCTCCCTCCTCCACGTGTCTCCACTTGTCTGCCTTCTCCTCCCCTGTCCTCCCTGTGTCTTTCTCTTCTCGCTGTCCTCTCATCACTACGTATCCTCATTCTCACCCCCTTGTCTCCCTCCTTCCCTGCCTCGAGTAATCCTTCTCCCCTCTCCTCCCCGTGTCTCTGCCCATCTCAGTATGTCCCCTTCCTCGTTCTCAGCCCTTTAATGTGAGTCTGGGAGCAAATATTCCACTAAATATGAACACTCAGTGAGGAAAACTCATTCACATGCTTACCCTACTCACTCATTTTCCCATTCACTCAGCAGTTCACTGATTTGTTCCTTCACTCACGCTCATTCTACTCATCTAATCACCCAACTGCTTATCGACAAACTCACTAAATCACTCGTGTTTACTCCATTACCTCACTCATTAATTTTGCGCATTGCTTGTCTCTTTCTTAACAAACTCATGCACACCACTCACTACCCACTCATTCAAACACTTCCGCACTCACCATACTCACTCAGTTATTTATTATTTCACTCACTCGCACCGTTCCATCAATCGCTCGCTTATCAAAAAACCCATCCACCTCACATGCATTTAAATTACTGACCGACTCAATCACATATCACCCAGTAACCTGACTTGACCACATAGTCATTCAATTATGAAAAACTCCAGTTGTCCATAACACTGTGGCCTAGAAAAGTATATGATAGGCAACGTTTCAGGCAACGACCCTTTTTCATAGCATATACAGAGACCATAGATACTAAGTGCATAATCAGAGTTGTAGGCTGCAATTGAGTACACCATGGGACATGATGAGAATTAAATGTAGATATTCTCCCTGATGAACAGTTTTAATTTGGCATCTGAATAGTAACCTAATAATAGCTCCTGAGTAACCAATAAACCCTTTAATAATCACAAATGTATTCCTAAATAATCTCATTTATGTAAAAAAAAGTAAATGTCAGGACTTGCGAGATTGTTGGTCCAATCCTTCCATCTAAAACTATTAAAACTAAACCATTACCAGGGGCAGACTAACCAGGGAACACACCTCCTTACGTGATACACGTGGGTAATGGATATGTAGTTACACATGTTAATTGTTCAGATATCATGATGTCACCCTCTGGCACAATGACACCCACCTTACATAATCGTCTGGTCAGCCAACTGAATGCGATGTGAGTGTTGGCGATTGTGTGAGTGTGTGCTCGCTAACAGCACTTTCCCCAAAAGTCTGTTAAGGCTTTACGTGGGATCTTTGTCTTTGTGATGTGTGTGAGTGGATGATGACTTGAGTGGGGTCAAGTAGCCTGCATGCCCAGCCACCGCAGGCCCAAGCAGTTTCTTGTTAATCAGAGGGGGCGCCTAAATGGGTGTGGCACAGGCCAGATAAGAGATGGACTGAGGGGGTACAGAAGGATGTGGAGTAGATTGGACTTGCTGGTGACCGGTATCAGCGGTGTCAAGACCGGCCTCTGTGGAGGAGGTTCGTGAAGGACGCTTCTGGGGAGATGTAGGCAGTCAGCCTCTACCAACAACAGAGGGCAGAGGAGCGATGCTTACAACCGCGAGCACAGTGCAGCAAGTTGGGACAGTAAGGGGCACAGGTGGTGCATTTGTCAGACATCTCAGTCAACCCACGGCACTTGGATCTGTTCCGTTAACTACCAGTGAGCCTTCGACACTATACGTGGCCTCAAAATACGCCTTTCATGGTGCAGGCGTTGTGGTGACATCACCACCACTTAGTGGTGAGCAGCGGCTGCTGTTGTTGGGGAATAACTTCATGGGGACCGGTGGCACAGTGGTTAGCGCACTGTTCTGTGAACCTGGCAAATGGAGTTCAATGCCCACTTAATACCAATAACAGTGGTGCATATTTTAACAGGTCTTGGGCCTTCACGAGGTAGACTCAGCCTTAAAATGAGGTACAGTACATAATACTGATGCTATAATAAAATTGTATAAAATGGTTACAATCTGTATTATCGCTTTTACCAATACCCCAATGAAGCCCTCATACTTAAGTAATAAGGGTGTTGGAAACTGATTCTTCAAGTGAGCGCTAAGCGAGGTCGGTCTGTACTGAGTACACCGCGATCCAGAGAGATACACCATTAAATTCAGTCACCAAACAAGAACGCTTTTTTTTTTTATGTCACAACTACAGCCAAAATGTATAATATAATGAATATGTATTTACATTTATAATACAGAAAATCACGGTTTTGATACAAAAATAAATGTTGTGGTCAGGGTCCATTTGGTGGGGCGCTGGTTCTGGATGACGCCTCATCACAGAAACGCCTCCCCCGGAATCTTCCCTGCTTCCTGACGACGGGAAACGATGATTGGCGACCGTGCAGGAGCCGCAGCCAAAACCGGAGCAGCGATTGCGATGAGGGAATGAGGAGAGGTGGGAGCAGAGTGGAGAGGGAGACAAGCGGCATCATTAGCGACGGTCGCCAAAATGTGAACACGCCGGTGCAATTGCGATTACGTGTGTCGGTCAGGATTGCGGGCGGCGCGGTACTCACGTAGAGGTGGATGAAGTCGTCGGCCGCTTTGGAGAAATCCCAATTGTTCTGCTCCAGGCATCTGTGGAGGCGAGCGCAGACAGGAGGCAAACAGAACGTCAGTGCCTTGTTTCCACAGTCCAGCTTGCAAGTCTAGTGCCTGGGCTGTGGACCAGATTCCTATGGCCACCTGAAACGGGTTCATGCCAGCTCCCGGTGAGAATCGACCGTGCAGCCCCATTACACAGTGCCGTTTGGCTCGCTTCCCTATGGGAGCCGCACGCTTGGAATAGTGCTGTCGCGAGATCACGGGGTAAATTCAGCAGAGATGCACCGTCAAGTCGCCCCTCACTCGAGTCGACTTTATGGCCATGTGTTTGTACAAAAATTGTTGAAACGTACAAAAAATTTTCGTTTAAACTCGGGACCGGAGTAAGCCACCTCAAGCGTACATTGTCTCCTTAATAATCTTTACAAAATGACTGACGCTTTCCTCTAGCTGTGGACAAAAGGGGTAGGGGGGAGTGAAGGGGCAGGAAGGACGTAACAGTCCCGAGTCCAAATACCCTGGTGCCCCTCTAAGGGTTTGGCAGAATAAATGGCTCCTGCTGGACTGTGTCTGATTACTCTTGCAATGAAGCATGACATCATGCGTGTGTGCACATGTGTGTGGCTGTAAGAGAGTCCCACGTGCTCTCGCCCACCTTTGTGACCACTTCGGTGTCATGTGGGATTTTTCTGCGAACGAATTGACTATCTCCTGCTGAGACAAGGTGAGCGCAGTAAGCGGGCAGCTGCTGGACGTCGCTGGTGTTGAGGCGAATGCAGGGGGCATCTCACTTGCAAGAGCTTCGCGGATGAACATCCGCTCACTCGCGACAGACGGCCTGCAGAGTGTCAACACAAGCAGGTCAATAAAAATAATAACACATTAGTTAAACAGCAAGCTAATGGAGCACCTGAAGAAAACACATGGGCAAGGGGTCAAAACTCTATCCTATACAGAAGACAAGATGGAGATTAGTCCACACTTGCTGTACTGCCTTGAAGTTGATTGGTCCACACCCGAAACAGCTTTTCTTAGAGCCTAGTCTCCATTGGTGTTGGACCAGATGACACCAAAAGGCGTCACTTCAAGGACAGTGCATATCATTATCATCATCAGAGTTGTTTCTTTTTGTTTGCATTTTGACTGCTTGTGTTGTGGTTATTGCAAACATGATGCCTTGTATAAAGGTGTCAGTTTTTGTACCAGTTGAAAGGGTAAAAACCTATGACTTGTTTAATGCTGTTGTTGACTCCACATTAGCGGAACTCAACCATCGTTTTTCTCCCGATGCCTGTGAACTGCTCAGTAAGATCCCTTACCTCGACCCAGTTGACAACTTCGAATCGTACCAGTTAAATCAAGAGCAGATCATTGAGTTGGTGGCAATGTACAAGGCCGATTTTCGAGAGCTGGATCTGACTTCGCTTAAACAGGAACTTGTTGAGTTTGTCATGTTCACAGGTGACGAGGAGAATGCCGCCGTATTTGAACCAGTCAAATCTAATCTGAAGCAACTGAGCATCGTTTTCTACAAGCACAAACTTGTAAGCATATTTCCTCAGTTGTATAAGCTCATTCGACTGATCTTGACTCTCCCGATCTCTACGGCCACCACCGAGCGCGCAATCTCCGCCATGAAAATCTTGAAGACGCGGCTGCGCACCAGCATGAGCGAAGACTGGATGGCCGACTTGATGGTGATATACATCGAGAAGGCTATCGCGAAGTCCCTCGATCTCTCCGATATTGTCCAGCAGTTGATGAGCATGTCAGCTCGCCGCGTTCAAATCCAATAAATTGTTTTTATACATTTGTGGCACCCATTGGAAAACATTCACTGGATATCTCAGAATATTGAAGTCAGCCCCCGCAAAGTCAAAATCCTGGCACCGCCCCTGGTCATGGTGCAAGTGACTCACCTGCCGTCCATGGTTGGCACCAATTGCACCACCCGCCAAAACATCTTCACAGACTCTTGGCAATTCTTGGCTGAGGATCGACACACGACAAAGGTGCACGGGCGTCAAGAGAGAGCCACGCCATTAGCATAAACCGCATGGCAGGATCAATTAGAATGGTGAGGTGGTGCTTATGGCAGGCAGTGCAGAATGCACCTGGTGTAGTTAAATGCAATGTCAGTGATGCTGTTGATGATGCTACTGCTGATGACAAAGCTGATGGTGAATGTGACTATGCAAATACTCACTCTCTTTGAAGAAGCCGTGCACGGTGAAGTTGACCTGGGTATCCTGTAAAGTGAGAGTCACAAGTAAACACGACGGCCCATCATTTCTAAGCAACCCAAGAGGTGGAGACTGCAGGGGTTGGGTCTCGGCCAGGGTTAGTGCTGTGGCTAGAGTAAGTGTGAGTCTTGGCTTGTGTTAGTGTCAAGGTTTGAGAGAGAGAGATGTTGCTAGAGATCATAATATGATCGAGTGTCAAGGCTCGGGATAATGTATATTTAAGGCCAAGAAGATGGCTTTAATCTCTCTTAAGAGTTACGTTTCACGTATTTGACTCGTACTGAAGCGACAGCTTCTTTGTCTTTCTTTGGTTCTTTATTAACTTGTATAGTTCCACATCTCTTCCGTCAACATCACTCAATGTCCCTCCGCTCGCTCGCTGCGCTCCGCTGGCTTCGCTGGCTTCGCTCGCTCTCCTTCTGCTCCTCCAGCGATTCTCCTCTCCGCTCTCTCTCTCCAGCTCGGCTGCTCTTTATTAACTTTGTCGTCCCACTCCGTCGTAACTCTCCGTCGTCTCTCTCTCCAACAAGGTCCGTTACTCCGCTGCTATCCTACGCTGTACTCGCTCCATCCACTGCTACTCTATACTGTATTCTCTCTATCCACTGCCACCGTATACTGTATTCTCTCTACCCACTGCTACCTTATACTGCACTCTTTCTATCCACTGCTACGCTATGCTATACTCACTCTATCCGCTGCTCCGTCTCTCCATCCGTTCGTATCTCGTCCCAGGCACCAACTCCCGTTTCACTCTATCATCTCACCCTTTATCCCCGAACCAATTACCCTTCATAAATTAGGTCATCCCCCGCGACGCCACTCGCCCCCAGTCCCCGGTGCCACGTGGCGTTGTTGTTGCAGACGCGCCGGCGCCAATGTCAGACAACCGTCTCTCTCATCCAATCAGCGCCCTGCGTCCTCAATTACCCCCGGCCACCTGCAGCCCCCTTAACTATCACGCCACCTTAATTGGTACGACAACAACGGCTAGCCAATCAGCGCCCTGTGTCCTCGTTCGCCCTCACTGTCCGCCACATGCGCGTATATCGACCCAGCGCGTGACACTTGTTTCGAGCCCTACACACGTAATTCACGTTAAATATTGTAGCAAGCTAAAGGTGAACATATTTACATAATCATCAGGGTATCAAAGAATAAGTCAAAATAATTATAGTAAAAATTCTAAGCATAAATTGTGGGCTTGTGCACAGGAAAGGTTTGTAACTCAGGCCACATAAGCTCAGCAATTTGTGTTTAAGCAGAGCCAGCGGCTATGCCAATGAGGGCGTTTTGGTACAAGGCCACAGTTGGCTCACCGTGCCACGGCTGACGGTGGTGGTGAAGGAGGACATATCGTGATGCTTGTGCGTCAGCTCTTTGATGAAGTCCTCCGCCGTCAGCCGCTCGCACTTGAGCTGTGCTGTAGGATGAGGGGGCAGGAGGGCAACAAAACTGTGGTGATGTGCGTGGCGACAGATATGCACATGTTAAACTTCTTTTGCACTGTACAAAGTCAACTGTTGCATCGGAGGTGCGGAGCAAGGAGAAAAAAACTGCATGGCGCACGGTGACAGAATGACATGAGCGGCGACACAGTGACGCGCGGATCTGCAAACATCGCTCATGACCAACACTCACGTGAATCTTCCGGGGTCGGCTTGTCTGTACCCTCCTCTCCCAGGCTGCTCCTGGAGGTGGAAACGAGATCCGGAGCATTAGGAAACGGAGTGGCTACACTCGCATCCACAAGTGTGCTTTAATTTCCGTGTTTTCGCAGAGCATTTCTTCTGGTATCGTTGCAGAAACTGATGATTTAATTCCAGTTTTAGAAGCCATATTTCATTTCGAAGCATTTAAAGCAAGCTTCTGATTCGCTGCTTGCGGCTATGTGAAAAAACCTCCGCACGTTTCAGCGCACTTTAAATGGCCTCTTTTATGACGCTATAGAAGTTGTCATTAATGCTTATAACTGCCTGTACCGATGATAAGCAATGTAACCCGGTCTCTCGAGAGTGGTCTGTGGCAAATACCAATTCATCCTTTCATGTGACAGCCTTGCTGGCCAGTTTGTACGTGTGTGTGTGTTTTTTGCTCACTCTAAGGGGGTGTAGATGGTGATGAGGGCATCCTTATGATACTTCTTGAGCAGACCCTCGCGGTCTGCGGTATCATAAAGACCGTAGTACCTGCCAATGCACACACAACGCACTTTAAATCACCGAGTGTGTCGCGATCCATCGATTCATAATATAAACTCAACTCTTTTGTTCACGATGCAAGTATACAGTCGTGCTTGTGATGATAAAAGAGTAACAATGAATTGTTGCAGAAATAATGGGATGATGCGGTGGTGTAACGGTTATTACTCTGGGCTTCCAAATCAGAGGTTGCCAGTGTAATGTCCTGTAAGCGAACGTTGAAGCAAAGGTGCAAACTGATTGAATCCCCCCACCTCTGTCCAGCCAGCTGTCCACCACAGTTCAATTGGCAGTGTTGGGGTCAAGTGTGGGTACTCCATACCCTTCCAAGATGTCCGGCCATTGTGGAAGACTAGGCCAAATACACGATAGAGGGTTCTTTACAACTCCCTCTAGTGGAGTAGAAGGCGCAAGGAATTACAGGGCTGCACTTCTATATACAATGATAAATTCATGATAGAATTAAGGTAATGGGACTAATCTGTAGAGGGAAGGCAGTACAACCGGAAACGGTAATAATAAGAGACACGTGGATTAAACAACGTATGCAGCGTAAGGAAACCATTCTAACTGATAAGAAAAGTAAGTGGGCTTGAGCAGAACACACTGGCATAAGGAATAATAGCCATTAATATAGACTGACTGAGTGACATCCAAGGGAGGGAACATGCCTAAGGGCAAGGCAGTCCAGGAGTTGGAGCGAATAAATGAGCTTGTCTATAGATTGTAGGTAGGTTATTCCATTGCAGGGCAGTTGTATAGTGATGGCTTAGGGAAGCATAGGCTGGGATACCCTAGTGTCTGTGTGAGTGAGTGCGGGGAATTGGAAGGCTCCTTACTCCTTGAGGAAGTTCGCGATGAGGCCTTGAATGTCGGCTGAGGTGGGGGGCAGTGGGGTGGGTGGCAGAGCTGTGGGAGGCTGAGCCTTGGGTGGCAGAGGTGTGGGTGGCAGAGCGATGGGAGGCTGAGCTGTGGGTGGCAGAGGTGTGGGTGGCAGAGCGATGGGAGGCTGAGCTGTGGGTGGCAGAGGTGTGGGTGGCAGAGCCATGGGAGGCCGATCTTCGCGAGCCATGGGAGGCCGATCTTCGCGAGGCTGAGCCTTGCGAGGTCGAGCCGTGGGTGGCACAACTGTGGGAAGCTGAGCAGTGGGAAGCTGATCCTTGGGTGGCAGAGTTGTGAGTGGCAAAGGTGTGGTTGGCACAACTGTGAGAAGCTGAGCAGTGGGAAGCCGATCCTTGGGTGGCAGAGTTGTGGGTGGCACAGCGATGGGTGACACAGCCATGAGAGGCTGAGCTATGGGAGGCCGCGCAGTCGGAGGCTGAGCAGAGGGTGCCATGACTTTGGGCACCATCATGGACATGGATGCGGGTGGCTGTGCCAGCTCAGCTTCTTCCTGTTGGTAACAAACAATGATGGTAATGAAGGTGATTATGATTATGTGAGTGGTGGTGCTGGTGGTGATGAAGTTAATGCCAATGGTGAGGGTGATGGTGTTGAGAGTAATGATAGTAGATGTGATGATGAAGGTAGTGGTGGTCATAACGTCCAATGTACTAACACGTACAATCTGGTGTACCAACACAATCTGATGTATCAACACGTGCACATTCTGATGTACCAACACACGTAAATAATCTGATATACCAACATACAATCTGATGTACCAATACATACACACAATTACAAATACCAACACGGTGAGAGCATAGCAGCCGCGTGCCGGCTGTACGCATGGCCTCCTCACCTCGATCAGCCGCCGGTCGTCCTTCGTTAGGTCCGCAGCGAGCAGAGGCGGTGGGCCCAGGACTGGGCGCATCAAGACGATGGCCTGCAACACGGACAAAGCAGCGACACCGATCAGCTGGCCGCCGGCACGCCGGCTCCCTCCCATGTGGATCACCTTACCTCGTTAGCCCGACAGGGATGCGACGATGCTCCCATTCGCTCGCGAAAGTTGCATCAAATTATGCGTGGGCATGTCTGTGTGTATGTGTCACAATTCTAGTGCATGTTGTGCAACCAGGTGAGAGAACCCAAGAGACTAGGATATGCTGAATTTTCCACAGTGACCCCGGTAACCAATCACGTGTAAAGTATTGGATTTGCATTCAGTTTCAGTATGCTGTTTCATTGTTGTACCTAGGGGGAAAGAGGGCAGCAATTTGGCAAATGGATCAAAGACAATTGTAAAAATTAGACGGGAATAATGGGAAGCAGTAAAAACGAGATGAAAATTACATGAAAAAATAAATTGATTTTTTAAATGAATCTCGGCTTCCACCAACAATTCAATGAGTTTGATGATTTATGACTTTTTTTACGATTTCCAGTGCTGGAATCTCTCATAGCTGCGGGTGCTCACACGGTATATGAGCTATTCAACCCGAAATAAAATTATTCTTACACGTGTAACTAAACGCATGCATTGTGTGCTGAAATGCATTTAACCCATGCATAATTGCACACCTATTGGCCTAGCACTCCAGTCCACTCCGGCTGTCTTTCCAGCCATCCCAGGGGATTTCAATGGAACAACCGAGTAACCTCTTGGGGCCACTATGAAAGGCTACATGAGGATAATAATGATGCCCTCTCATTATCCAGGAGAGTCTTTCTCAGCCTCAAGACTGTTCTTCACGAGGATCCTGTATTAGGATTGTTCGGCAAATTCCCTGAATGAGCATTTAGGTTGGAGGCAGAAGCTGCACTGTCCGGGGCAAAAACACGTACGCATTCAAGTCAAGTACGCTCAAAGTTCTGGACAGATATATTAAACAATCGATTGATATGCTGTGATCTCCTGGTCACACTTCAGTTGAAGGGGGGGGGGGGCTATAAACAACTGATGTAACTTTTACAGCTCATATAGCGGTTGGCCTATCGCCTCCTGCCTCCCCGACGCACTCACCCTATAGTTGTCGGGAAAGACAATTTTCCGTGACAGCGCCTTGAGGTTCAAGGCCGCCATGTAGTTAGCCACATAGAATGTTGCCATGTC